ATATTTAAAAAGTATGTTATTATTATTATTATTAATGTATCTTAAACAGTGGACGTGCTAATGCGCAGAAAAACCATCCAAACCCTTCTTCATATTAAATATTTCGAAATACGCCTATGATGTTGATCCAATAGTGCAATAGCAATACTGCAATAAACATGTCATGAGATGATAAATAAATCGGACAATATAGGTACTCCAGTACCGCCTGCTTCAGTGTAAATTGTCGTTTAGGTATTATAATATATTAAATCACCGATCTTGTGATCCATTCATCTCAAACGGATATTGTCATCATTCTTTTAACGATAACTAATGCAAGATTTTACATGCGACAACAAATTCTCGCATATTAATGCAATATTAGAATTCAATTTGGATATCATAGTAAAGTTCTTCGTTAAGGTATGTTATATATTATGTAGGTATAGAGTTTAATAGCTTTATACTGTAGACACTGTATAATAGCGTATTTATACAGGGACCTGTGATGGATTTAGCCCCCTCCCCCCCACATTGAAATTCCAATGGGTGGTATATCAATTATCAATATAATTTTTTTTTTTAATTTCAGAAGGGGGTTTAATTTTCATGTTATATTAACTATTCATTAATATAATATTTTGTTATTTATAAAAGTCATAAAATTACGATTTATACACTTCCGAGTTCTATCTTCAACAATCATAAAAACATAAAAAAAAAGCAATTTTTTACTATAATCTCTAAAGACGTGCGACGGTAAACACGCACGCTTCGGCGGTGACGATACGCATGACGTGCCACGCGGCGGCGGCTGTGTTGTTGTATACTTGTATGTGTTAGAGAAATGAAAAAACTGCGTCTTAAAAATATATAAATATTATTTGGTTGGTTACGCACAGAAGACGCGACGGCACACCCCGAACGCCGCCGCCGCCACCACCAACGGTGCGCCGGTCCAAGGTCAACGTGATCGCATCGCTGCCTAGCTGGAGAGAAAATAGGAACCAGAAGCAAAACAGTTTTTAATAACAATAATAATGAAAATACCCCTAATGCGCATGCGTGTCGTCTCACAGGAGTCGTACAATAATATTATTGTTGTTGTCGTTGTGATCATCACCGATCACCCACGTGTTGTGCACTGTACAGCCTGTTTGGCAAGTATTTCGTTTGCTCACCACCAGTCACCACCGTCTTTTTTCACGATTACTGTTTTGCCAGGATTTTTGGAAAAAAAATCTCATAGCACCGTCTCATGAGATCAAAATGCCAATTGTTTCGCCCGAAATATATGCTTCAGTGGTCCCAATGTTGAATTATGTACAACCATCGTGTTTCTTATATTTCCCCAAACACAAATATTATAATACTTATTATTGTTTCTCCGCTTATTCAATACACCTGAGCTTGAGAATACCCGTGTAATATTAAAAGAAAAATATTTGAATATGCTCACAAAAAAGTCCGTACAATATGGTGGTAACAAAAAAAAAAAATATTTTTTTTCAATTTGATTATAACAGTTTGAGCAAATGCTTAATTCAAATTGCATTCTGCATAATTTGTCATGTTTACTAAACCACTAGAATCTAATAAAACATTTACTTATAATACATGTTTATGTGTACAGCATCAGGTTAAGGTTTCACCAAAATCTTATACATATACTTCTTTATAACCTACCTGTACGTTTTTCCGACACCTCTGCGTACTAGACTACCGTCTGGCGTCTGCTATGAAGTATTTACTACCTAGTGTAGCGCTTCGATATCGTTTGGTATCACGTTACATTTATTTCGCATTCAGTCTGAGTGTCTCATGTTATTAGTACAGTGAAACGAATCTATGTCATAAAAAGATGAAGTTGTTATTTTTCACACAGTCAGATTATATAGAAGTTAGCACTTGAAAACTCAGATTTGAGTTTCGTTTTATTCAATCATAACGATTTGAGAGCCCGATGGTAGATAAACATATTAGTATGCACACAACATGTTTATTATTTATCGCGAGTATGCTCGATCATATCTCATAATAACAACAATAATATTATTATCGTCCGTAAATGATAGAAAAAACTCGATGCATGGAGTATGTATGGAGACACGTCATTTTATATACATATAATATATATAATATAATAATAATAATATTTAAAAACATATCACTATAAAAGGTTCGGATCGAACACAGTTTTTATCGTTTAAAATTTCATATTAAACTGAATATAATAGCGTACAACGTTTAATATAATAATGTATATCCGTAATTTACGCGTACACAGTAAACAATATAGTATAATAATATTATTTTATTATCAAAATATATGGTTGGTAGTCTTGGAACACCCCGCTCTCGTTAGTTTTTCTGAGAACCATCATAATTTCGTAATCCGCGTTTAATCTGAAGTTGGAATACGACGAATATAATAATAATATAATCATTAAATTGTGTTCCTGTGTTGTTCTGTTAGATCTACAGAATTTCACCGAACAAAATCATGCACTCGACGAGTACGTTCGTACGTATAGGTAGGTGAGTGGGTGTGTCTTTCTGGTAGTGGTTAAGCATGTAGCAAGTATGCATAATATTATAATAATATAATAATATATTATAGTAGGTAAGCGTACTTGATCCGGGGAAGCGTATAGAATATAATAATAATTAATCCGTGCAACTAACTGATTCGAGTGTTTACCTTTCGATAACCGTTTCAGGAAATGGTCTCGTATACAATATGATAGGTATCGTCGAGGCAAGTTAATAGCTTGTATACATACGCATACAATAATAATACATAATAGCATACGAGTTTAAAAATAAAACCGACACATGGTACAGTGTAATTTGTTTACTGTCGAAAGTCGTTTGAAACAAAATAATGACAAGACCAACTTTTTCTATACCACCACAGTCGGCGTGCAATATACGCTGTAGAGCCGTAGAGGCATAGAGCCTAGAGGGTTAGAGCGGTTAGACAATTAACATTTACAGCACCCCAGACTGTCTGTTTGCAGTTTAATAATGTATTAATATCTGTAGACCATTATAAACTAGTAGCTTAGCAAGTTAAAATAGAATGATTATGCGAACGGTCTTAATAATAATTCATACCGTTAATGTTATAATACAGCTACAAATTACAATAATGAATAGCATATGCTTAATAACTATACTCGGACGCAAAAAATAACGAGTCATTCGTTGCTAGGTAGAGGTAGATTTGTATCTTTATAACTATATTCAATTTCGTGACCAGTTTTTTTGCGTCTATAAACGATGTGTATTATATCAATGAAGTATACATAACTTTTGTAGTTTTGGGTGTACAAAAATTAGACGATTTTTGTAACGGTTTGCTATTGCCATGGATATTAGTATAACAATAACACTATAATAGCAATGTAGCATACTACTTATGATATGTATACAAACGAAATTTTTTCATTACATTTCTTAATAAGCCTTTTACTCAAAATTCTAAATAAAAAACCTTATTAACCTTTGATTCTGATTCATTTGTGAACTTATTTTTATTGTTGAAAATGATCGGATTCATATCCTTTTAAGAATGATGGTGAGATGGACAAATACGATTTATTGTCCACATCTTACATTTAATAAACTATAGGTACTATTTAGAGTATAGTTGTACCCAGTGGTGTAACTTGGAGAAGACTAAGGTCTAAGGGTCCTCCCTCAAATTTCAAGAAAATTTATAAAATGCTTTAAGTGTTCTGTGAATCTACTACATTAGACGTAACGATACATTAGAATTGCAATTAGTATGAAGGTTGATGCAAAAGTATTAAGTGTTATATAGTCATACCAAACTTACAATATTTCATAAAATCTTTATCAAAAAAATTCCATGCGTGAATCTGACACTTTTCCGCATAATTATCACATTCAACAATTCAGGAACGACCTTCCGAATTTCCAAAATTGTTTTTCTATGATTCCAATTCGTATTTTAAAATATTTAAATTCATACGGAAAAAGTGATAATTTAAACGCTCGTGGACATTGTGTACTTCCCCACATATTGTACATATAACTATAGGTGCATAAATTATTAAGTTATACGTACTGGAGTTACCCACAGGCTCCCAGAATTAGATAATTTATGTACATTTATATGTCTACAATTTTACATACGAAATGCTCTCCAACGTCATAAGATTCACTGATTTCGTGCTTATGAAGAAATAAAGGGTTCAAAATATCGTCAAAACGATAAATTAATAAATAATTCACGGTTGTATAAATAAAACATGGTCAAAAAAAATACGTAGCCTATACACATAAAAAAACATTTCTCTCTCTGAAAAGAATATTTTTGTCTTTTCAGAAACTATATGATACAATTAACTTAACTTCCGCGTGGGATTTACAAATTTAGTTTCTGGGTTGTTAACGCGTACGGCGCACCTATATTTGAGTATCTATCTGACCGAAAGGTAAGTTTTCACTTTTTTCCTCTCGCACAAATATAGGAAGTTTAATAATACTTAAATAGGCGGTTGCTAGACGACGAATCGTGCACCCGAACAATATCAGGAAGAAAAAAAGGATATATTCATATTATGTAGGTATTTGTAATATATACGCACTGCAGGGTAGGATACGAATTTCAAAAAGCTTACCAATGGTAACCAATATGGTTTAATAGATACCTAGTATATTTATATTATTGCCAACAATTTAGTTGCGCAGTATCGAAATCAATATACACTTCCACTCGGATAAGTTATGAAAAGATATCGCTAGTATATGGTTGTTGGCGAAATACCGGCAACTCGGAATAAAAGGGAAGAATGTATTATTATTTTGTTTAGAATAACAGCCTACAAAGTACCTATTATAATATTATGATGTAGTGCGCAATATTGACCTACAACCACTATGAACAGCCACTCCCACTCTGAACTGCTGCGCAAGGAGGGGGATTTGTTATTGTTTTGTTTTTTTCGTTTTTAAGCACCCCTCTCCGCCACCGACGAAACGACCGTCTCTCTCAGGCTTCTTCACTCACGACACAATATATTTTAATATACGCATAATATTATTATTATGTAATTACACCGACAACATCCCGTAGGGTAACTAGTTTCGTTTTTACGTCGTAGGTATTTCAACCGGAAACTCTTTCGCTTTATTATAATATTTTAATACACCTATATTATTCTATGTGGCAGGTAAGTGTTTGATTGCAGGCATAGTCTGAAGATCTTCTGGAGCATAGTACACTATGATAATTTAGTGTAATGCCGACGATAACTACAAAAATAACATTGCAAATCGGAGGTTGTGAAAAAAACAAAATTTTCGCTGTTGTCACGGTTCCTGTGCGATGAAGAAAACACATTATTATATAATACCTTGGTATGTGTGTAAGAAATAATAATATTATAAAAGAAATCGTAACCAGCAGGGAATATGTCGTGCGATTAGAGACTACCCCTCATACTTCGTAGTTGCACAGGAAATGTTGAAATCGGTATCCGGTAATCCCACTACAAAACGTTGCTCGTCGGGTACTCGGGTCGTATAATGGTCATATAATGTATAACGTATCATGCATTCATGCCATTAGCACGTAGGGTAGGCGTTTTAAAATTTATCGCAGTTTGAATACCGCGACCTATTCGAAAACCCTCGTGGTTCATAAAAAATATTACGACCCGCGCTCTATTTTTATCATTTATTACAAGGTGTCCGGTAAAGATAAAACTCAAAAAAGTGTATTATGTAATATATTTTAGGGCGAAATTTCCTTCTTTTGTTTTTTATGGGTTTTTCGTTATTTCGATTGTTTGTATATTATACAACACACCTATTGATTATTGAAATTACATGTTTTTATTTTATTTTATACGGCTCAACAAAAATAAAAATAATACTTAAATAAACCACAACTAATTATTAAAATATTATGAAAGACTACGCACGTGCAAAACGGAATTAGTGTTAAAATATTTTGTGGCAGTTTATTCAACGAGTGCAGACCTATTTATCATGATTCACCAGCCGAAGTACCTAGAAATTGTATTATCATCACCTGTAGGCAGTATAAGTACATTCCTTACGGCTTACGGTAGGATTCGACTGTATATTGACTATTTGACTGCATCGTAATAGTATAAAATATAAATATTGTCAAATTGATTATCGGTAACTCGGAGCATCGAAAAAACAAAACACTTGCCCCTCCACTGCAGCGGGACATAGCCATTTGGTTAACGTCACATTAATTCATTACCCGATTTGTTCAAAAACTCCTTAAAATCGTGATTACATTAAATTAATTTCATAACAAGTTAAAACATCACCATTGCACTATCATTCGACTACCTATTCGAGACTTTAGGTGAATCAATATATCATACTCATGCGAAATCACATTATACGTTGGCGAGGTGCATTATACATTATGCTAGCCGCTACGTACGTGTAAACTGTAAAGTATCTTATGATACTTAGATATCGTATGTACCTAAACGCATTGTCTGAGCACAGACGTGTAAAATAACACTGTAAAAACTCATTAATCCAAGGAATGATATACGAGTACCTGGGTTACCTACCATTTTACGCGACAAATTCGACTTCATTTTAACAATGGCGTGTCATCGTTATATATCTCGACATCAGACAATAATTTATTTTAGTAAAATACTCATACTAATATATTATATGTTATTGTCTTTGGCACGTTCAGAATTTTATTATTTTAATAATACTGCTATCGTCAAACGCCGAAGTAGATTATTATTAAACCATCCTATTATCGAATACCTAATAATTAATATGAACATAATTATCTATACCTAACGAATAATGATTAGAAACCATAACCCAATGGAGTTCTTAGTGCTTTGTTTTGTATGAACGCACGTTTTGTTATATTGTGTAGGTTACATATTTATACTTTATTTCACATTTATATCTTTATAATTTTTTGTGTGTGTATAATACTTATTATATCGTCAAAGTGTGTAAATAACTGTAGGATTTTTATTATTTATTCACTATAAATCCACAATTTGTTATTAAACCACGTATAGTAGGGTGTTGTAAGTGATCGAAACGATTTGCCAAAACCATCACAAAGTCATACATTAAGTTGTGCTGAAACATTTTGTTCAAATCACAAATCTGGGGTATCCAATGTTCATATTCAATCTAATATTCATGTGTAATCGTATACTTTTACAAAAAGTGACAAAAATCTGTTTGATGGCACAAAAATCCTGCAGCAGGACTTAGCAGGCGGTCCCCGTCACACATGCGTATAATTAATTCAAAATAAATCACCATCATTACGTATTGTCCATGCGTATTAGGGAAAGCTATGCTACAGTGCGCACAGCAGATCGAATATTTATAAAGCTATAGTCTAATTAGTTGTAATATGAATTTTATTCACCAGATAATATACGAAAATATTGTGCGATGATGTAATATGACTGCAGCCGAATTATGAATCACGATCGCATGGCTGTACCAAAATTAAGTTGTACTTATCGTCACCCATCCACCACACTCACACATCTCGTCACCGCGGTATCATACTCTATACACATAAACGAAAGTCCCACTTGTTTATTTTAAATTTAATATATATATATATACATGCAAACGTTAAATGCGTATGAGGACATACGGTCGACGAATTCATCATGCTCGTAATGTTAAACAGTGCATTGTACGGGATCCGACCTTGGATCCTGACAAATTGTTTTTAATTTGAATAATCGGTACACAAAATGTACTTATGTACGTACAACAAATACTATATGTTATTGTATATAATATATTATAATGCAGGTACAGTCGTCATACAATAATACGTCGATTATATACGCGCGCATATATTAAATATAAATACATATATCTATACAGGTACGGGTTCAAGTATATGATTACACCGACACGGACATGCCTTTGAACTGAGGTACCAATACACTCAAACTAAAATCCACCAATAACTCTATATTTCCACGGACAAAGTCAAGTTTAGTAGTTTCCCATAAATTGTATAGGAAATATCAAGCATGTTCAATCCCATTTTTTACTTTTTAATAATGCATTTATTCAAATTCTGACTTTTGCAATCATTAAGTACCGGTATACTTAAAGGTACATATTTTCAAAAATTATGAAGATGATGATTTTTTGGAAAATGTTGATGTCCCTAATTCGAAATTCGAACAAGTAGTTTCTGAGTTATTAAAATGTATTATAACATGTTAAGAATAGTAGTCATTAAAAATGGTTTTACAATACTACAAAATAGATATAATATTTAGTTTAGGACTTAAGCTCAGATAATTTTTAGAAAATATAAAATGTTGACCGATTAATGTTAATTATTATAATTTTCAAAACATCTTTCAACCTCGTTCGAATTTTGATTTGAATACGCGGACATTTTCAAGAAAATCGTCTCCTTCGTATTTAACTGTATGTAAAGTTGCTTCTCATTTGAAAAAATTATTTTTATCACCATAGGTCAAAGTTTTTTTTGGTGTAAAATTCTAAGTATTTGAAAATATGGTCCTTAAAAATAATTACTTACAAATGCCAAAAATCAGAATTTAAATAAATTCATTATAAAATGAAAGAAATGAGGTGTGCATGCTCGGTAAATCACTTTATATAAATACCAACATGACAATAAAAAATATATTTTATATTCGAACGTAACATAGCAACATCTTGTAGATAGATAGACTTAATGTCGGTATAAAAATCGATCATCTGAAACCTCAATGTATGAATAAAAGTTAAAGCTAACGCGTGGGTCGTGGATGTAGGAACATATATATATATATATTTATTATACAATATACATAATAACAACATAATACATTACAATTTTTAATAAACATAGGTGATGATTGGGGGGAGGGGGGAGGTTTACGGGGGCTCAGGCCCTCCAATAATTTATTCAAGCCAAAGATATTTTTTCTTTTGCATTTTATTGAATTTTAGACGAATGGCTAAAACTTTAAATTTTGAACTGGACTGGACTTTGGATGTTAAAAAAATGATGGGAAAAATTCTTACTTAAGTGTTGAGATTTTAGTTCACTTATACTGTTCAAAATTTTAATTTGTAATTAATTTTGATATGAACTACGAACTACTAAACTACGTCGTGATTTAGCGTAGACGGTAGTTTGAAAAATGTAATGTAAAATATTCTATTTATTCTGTTCAGTCCGGTCGGTTTTATTATCATAGAAAAAAAGTTCTATAAAAAGTAAAATATTGTAACGGTCAGACAGATGGGAAATTTGTTTCCAAATACTTGAGATCCCTCCCCCAAATATCTTACAGAACCATCGTCTATAATAATATACTATAATATAGTTCCAAAACTACTACTAGTTGTTACATTATATTTTATAGTCTTATTGCGTATGCAGACTACTGCAGATAAAAGCTTACTTTGCGTAAATCGTTTAAATTACAATAATTTCACTGTAGTTCACGAATTATTTCTCATAATCGCAATGGAAGACAATATTCGCCGGTCGCCCAGAACTAGTGAACGCAATAAGCGTACCTATACACGATTAATGTTTATATATTGTATATTAGATATAATTTACGTCGTATGATGACATACATATTTAATTTCAATGGTAAAATAATTAAATCAACTTCGCCTCTTGTATACATTTTAAATTGTAATTTATATTATTATTTACTATATGTAAAAATAAATTACTACAATGAAATGGTATTTGGTAGAACGCACTTCATTACAGGGCGTGTACGGCTTTTTGGAATATATTAATTTGAGGGGCCCTCAAAAACATAGTTTAGTATACACAACACACATGCATTCTATATGAATATAATGTGTTACGTGGGCGATGGAGATCACATAGAAGTGGCTATAGGTACATTTATTGACCGTTGTGATTTAAAAATTCTTAACAATGTCATATTGTACATATTAGCTAATTTAAAAATATAAATGTTTGAAATAATTTGTAAAGTATAATCAAACACTTATGGCGTACTTATACTTAGGGCCATAGAGGTACCTGAAAAGTGGGCTTGGCCGCATGGGGGTGGAAAACTTGAGACCCTACAAAATAATGTTCGGTACCTATTGCAAAACCAATATGTTTTGAAAAATATATTCTAGAACTCTGGAATAAAACAGAAACCTATATAGGCTATAGTCCTTCATAACTCATAAGAACGCATAGAATAATATTATAATAAATAATGATGGTGGAGAAAAATCAACTTTTAAGTGTAACGAAGATCAAATAAAAAATAATAGCCACCAGAAATAAAATATGTTAGGCAAAAGCGGGAAGTGAGCTATTTCAATCACCAGCCACGTGTACCACACAATGTTGCATTTTTTCAAAGACTGAAATTGTCTTCTCACGTGAGCCACATATACTATCTATTCTTTGTCACACCTTTGCCACTTCTAAAACTAACTATCTATATTATACTATTACGGTAGTCTACACTGCTCTACAGTGGCGGTCAAACGATTTTGTTACGGGGGGAGGAGTATATGGTTGATTTTTTTATTGTTAGAAATGTGATTGTCAGGTCTTAAACAATTAAACATTGAAAAAAAAGCCATGAGGGACCTACCCCACTCACCACCGTTTGACCACCACTGGTAGTCCACAATGAACTGTTCTTGGTATCTAGATTCACCAAACTAAAGAACGCATCAACCATTTGATAAATTAGACTAACCGTATCAATATGTTCATGTATATTAATCTGATTTGAACAGTAACTTTTAATGGTGTATATTAAAACGGTGTGAATAAGTTTATGGTATAAATATATTAAAATAGGACTAAATATGTCATATCAGTGCAAATTATTACAAATTTATTGATATTCTGTAATATATAGTATGATAAAATAATATAATATATAGTACCTATATAATTTTAATGCGTAATAATAAGTCCATCAGAAAAAAATGGACATATTTATAACAATACTATAATAATAATCTTATTTGTATATATTTTCAAAATATGTAGATTAAATAAAATGTTTTGTTTAAATTTATTATTCGCTCGTTATTTAACGTTATGTATTTAATAACAATAATTTATTATTAATAGATAAATTATAGGAAACCATTGAATGTTATTTATCTATTGCCTATTGATTATTATGTCCAATAATAACTTTGGGTATGGGTAAATATTTTGTTGAGAATGCAAGTGGAAATATGACATGGGCATAATTTAAAAGTGAAAAATATTACATGCTGTACAAAACTGTAACCAATATTATTACCTAACGTGGTTGTAACCAATGGTTGTTACCAAGTATAACACTACTGGTTATAACAAATCTTCTTGAACGACAGCAGCTATCGTTTGTTTTTGAGATGTCAATATTATTGTCAATAAAATCAATAAAATCAATAAAATATGACTTTTAACAGGACTTTTAGGACTCAATTACTCATTACTATAGTTTTGATATAGTAAATAAATATATATATATATGGCCATATATGGTGTACCTATATAGTTTTGTTAACCGTTTTCAGACCAAATATGGTGTACGTGCATGAGAGTGTGGTGTAGAGAGGGGGTGCCTTTCACTAATCTTTGGCCGGAAAATGTACTCACAGTGGAATAGGTGAGGGGGAATATCCTCCCCTAACTTTAAAATACAAAATTGAATGGTTCTCATGTTTGCCATTGTTTTACAATTTGTAAAAATTGAAATATAGGTAGATACTTGGATGTGAAACTGTGAAGTATAAAATAATGAATTAAATTTCCCATAAAAACTTAATTTTTAGAATATTTGAGCCAAATATTGTAAGTTCGCTTGAATGAGCTGTATAATATTTATATCATCATTTATCAATATTCTTAAGACGCAATCGGTATATTTATGTAGTTATAATAACCATTGAAAACAGTATTTACCACCTACTTTCTATGGCCCACAATCGTAATTTGGAAAAAGAAAAAGGTTACTTTGGATTAAATGGGGTGACACCTGCAGCCTCTGCATCTAATATAGAAAGATGGTAAACTGAAAATTATCCTTTTTCTAAAAGTGGATATGTAAACTGTGGCAATTTATTTAAGTAAGTATAAGTAGATCTCTTTGCACTAAGACATTATTATCACAAGTAAAGGAACCAATAGTATTTACAATGTTAGGTCAAAACTTAAAAATACATTTGAATTTACCTTACCAATTTGTACGAAATATATAACATAATTGATTGAACAATATTAGGTGCCTACTACCTATGTCCTATATAGTACCTACATGACACATATGCTAGGTTATGTAGGTTGTATAATGTATTAATGTCTCTTATCAGTTTTGTTGCAGATTCTATAAGTTAATTTTTTTTTGCACTGCTAACATATCGACTTTTAGAAAAAGGGTAATTTTGCTGTAGTTCCCTAATATATAATGAATCATGGTTTTTTTTAGGAACACTGCGCCAGTAATTACGTACCTAGTTATATAGTTTGTTATTTGGTTTATTATTATTTATTGGGTTATAGCATGCGTACCAAAAATATTTTGGTAATTTTAAACATAATATTAAATTATATATAATTAATACATACACACATTAGGTATATATGCAATATTATACATTGATTATTGGTGTTTGGAGATATTCAAATTATATATTAATCTGTATGTAAGTAATATTTTAATAAACAATGATCATAACTATTAGAAACACTTGAATTGCATTCAATATTAATTATGTTCCTGATTTTACAGTATATATTACATCAACATAAGTTATTTTGCTGTGCAGGTATATAATTAAAACGTTAAAACGAGAAAAACAACAGTCAACAAGTTCACTCACGTCACACTGACTCAAAAAACTAAAGCAGTAAAGCCAAGGATTTTTTCAATTAATAACAAGGTGATGTGTTTGTATATTATGCTTTTTTATTACTTGCAGTCAAAACAAACAACAACCCAATTTAGATATGGTTTAATATTACAACATTTAGTTCATAATAATAATGAAATCTTATCGATTCCTTATTTCCTATAAAGTTAAACAATTCCGTGATATTTTTCTAAATAACAACCAATCGTCATTAGAAACCACAGTAAATAAACAATTGAAGAATATTTCGTAATAATTTTAATCTGACAGAAAAATAAAACCAGCCTAATCATATTTTTTTAACCGAAATAAATATTACTACAAATAAGCAATTAATTCAGTTGAAATAATAATATAAAATATATATATATTGTTTAATAATATAATTTTGAACCTCCGACAGCCTATATTTATATGATTATATGTCATAATAATCGTAATGTATACCTCTACGCACAAATATTTAACTTAAAATAATCATTGAACAGATAATTCAACCACAATAAATCACGCATCTTTCAGAAATAACATATTTGTTTGATATGCTGCAGGACGACATGAAATTTTGGATACTCTTGAAATTAATTAAAAATATATAGTGCCAAAGGGTCTTGCCCACACTTGCACTTAATGTTTTGGGAATACTATCTTACAATTTAAATAATTTTCCTGCATAAAATTGAAAATGTATGCCAAAGTCAACCCCTCCAAAATGTCCCATTACATTTTGAGCATTGTAATAACATTGAATTTATATACAAAACTATTATAAAATCGATTGATTATATATAATATTTTATATGATATTATGATATTAAGATTGTATATTATATTTTATATAATATTATGTCATATGCTGATTACTTTATAAAGTCAATCGACCAATAGACTTAATTAAACGCTTAAGAGGATGTCAGCGCACTCTTTGTTTTCCTATATTGTTACCCGGGCCCACTCAACATAACAAATTTTCGTTCTAGATAAATTCCCTCTAATATTAAAGTTAACAACACAAAACTACGTCACGTGTTGGTCAGAGAGACTTAGCTGACATCCTCTTGAGTTAACAAAACTTAAAATTCGATAAAATTCATTGATATTAGAAAGGACATTTTTAAAATACGTTAATCGGATGGGCATTGATCTAATTACCAAAGTATCCCCAATTTAGTTTTAATGCGATTCATTTAATATAAATTAAATCGGTATCAACAGTTTTTTGTTAATGATATAAATTGTATGGAATAAAAAATAACACAATGACTCAAAACGTTGGGAGAGAAGTTTTTTCCTTCTTCCACATGAATACATGATCACACACATAATAGTATGCAGTATCTATAAGACTATAACATAACTCACGTTAGGTGAAGTAGCATACGTTGTACTTTAAAGTTCTAAATATCTACTTTTAATGGGCATAACAATGAATGAATAGGAATGATTGAATATTTCTCCAGAACATGTTTGGTTATGTTACGTTCGTTTTTATTGAACCAATTTATACCATCTATAATGACAAGTTTTTTTCCAACAAACTAATTGCTGTTGCATTTACGGGCTATGAACTGCGATGTTTACCGAACGTAATATATGTGTTTATGCCAAAAACCAACAAATAAAATGTAGTGAATAAACAAATGAATGTTTTTGAGTTTCTCCGTACGTATATTAAAGTTGTAGGTCAAACTCTATTTGATTCACGAAAATAAAATTATTTTGTTAGTATTCATATCTTATTTAAATGTGACTTTGAAAAAAAAACTTATGTATTCGTAAATATACCTAGATAGTTTTAACTATACACTTTTTATAAATATTTCCAAATTAATAAAAAAATATTAAAAATTTAAATACCATGAAAAATAAATGTTTTACTGTAAATTGAAATATTTAATGCGTTAATTAACGTTATTAATGATTGAAACTCGTAATAAAATGACTCGGTTAAGCACTTATAAACTTCTAATAAATATTATTTTCTTAGGTTCCAAAGAAATAAAACGATTCTTCTAAAAATCAGTTATTAGAAAACATTTTCTTGCTCTTATCGAACATACAAGGTTAATTTATCTAACCAAAGCTTTTAAAATTGATAAAAATTAAAAATAGATTTATACAGAATCAATTGTTTACAAATATATCTTAATGAGCTATGTATACACTATTTTTAAAATTTTCATTTCACTTGCTGAAAAATAAGATCGTCAGAATGATAATTAATTGCTACTTGTAAATTGTATTTTTAATAATAGTTATAGTATAAACATCTACTATTATGTTATTTATTGGTCAAAAAGTTTCATAGCACTAGTAAACGCTATAAATGTTGTAAATCAATTCAAATAAAGAGTTTTGTGTCTTTGAAAGGGCTTTTATAACTTTCTTAACAGTTTCTTAAATCTTAATGCGTGAGAAAAATAGAGCAGCAAACACAATGTTAAAATTTGGTACCTTTTCGCTTTTAAGTTTTTACTTTAAACTCCAATGAAAACTGTTTTTTGATACCATTCATCTATATTATTTATACTATTTTGTACGGCTTTTATTATCGTAAATAATATTTCATGTTCTGAAATGAGAATTTAACTGCGCAAATATAATCAATTTAATATATTTATAATAGTAGATGTAATCATCCTCGCATTTATTATGTTATAAGTTAAACAATCTTGCACTTGGACATTTAATTTAAAAAAATGTTATGTTATAATAATATAATGTATGTCGTAATAGTAAAATTTGAGTATAAATTAATAATAATTCATAAAAATGAAACGCACGCAAAAAATTAGGCACATTATGAGTCCTAATATTTGCTCGATACTAATTGGAAAACAAAAATAATACAATCGTCGAATTTCCCATCCAAAAAAACTATTTATGATGAAGCGTGTTTATTTTAAGCAAACAACATTTTCTTAAAATATTTTTTCCAAAAATACCCGTACGTTTTATTGGTTTTCATTTTTATTACACGTGTAGTAAGGCAAGCAATGTACTGAGAAACTAAAAAAATTAACTTATAAAACTTCAAAGTAACAACTTACTAGACTCGATGTAGGCATCTTAGATTATTTTGAACTTTAAAAGCACAGTTTTTTTACACAAAAAGATGTTCAGAGAAATAGATATAAAAAAAAATATAAAATTGTATAATATATTCCTTGATTTACTCAGAATCTAAAATAGTCATCTTAACACTTCCACAAAATCTATCTCCCACTCGGTAATAAATTCAAATATGATTTTGCAACAGTGAATTTTGTGTAATTCTGATTTTATCGTTGAGCTATTACAATTTACAACAACTCTTTAGAATTCACTAAGTTAAACTTTTTGATAACATTAAGAACATCACTCCAAATGTCCAAACACAAACATAAATGTATTATTTATTATTGGGAGAAATGCAACTTTAATAATCCAACGTTTTAATACTCTAGAAGGCTTCAGACTGCAGCAGTTCACTATTGCATACATTTATATTTTAGATACTAATAGGTACTTTATAGTACCCACTATTATATACTATTATAATTTATATGTCATGTAAATTCTATACTTACGACTTACCTGAATAATATTTAATTCATATTGATTTATTTACAAATTACAATGATTATTTTAGACAATATTAACTTAAAATTGATATAAATTTAAAAATATTGTGGTCGTTTTAACTAAAATTTTGGTTTGTGAAGAATAAGATTTTAAAATGTATATATTTTCATTCTGTGGTGCGTCTGTATTGAATTAGCTACATATTTATTATTGTTAATCACAGCTAACAGTTGTAGTAATATTAAGTTTAAAAAAAAATAATGTACCTATCTATACGATGTGTTGTTAAAAAATGAGTTCAATGTAAAATGTAAATATGTATTAATCTGTTTTTTAATCTATATATTATGTGTTTGTGTATAAAATAATTTGGACAGACTGACCATATAGGCACAATTAAGGCCCTCAGTTTTTAACTATTGTCAGTGTCTGTGTTGTTGATACAGTTCTAGCCTACCCAGAAAAATTTTCCTAGTTCAGCTTAAGTGACTGACTGATTTATCATCGCTTAGCCAGAAGCTTTGAGTATAAATGTTTAAGTATGAATATTTGGTCAGTATAGTTTCGTTTTACAATATAGATACCCATCAAGAACGAATTATTCAAAATCCGCATTTTAAAGAAGTCTTCCAATAACAAGGATTTTCAATATTTTGAGATTCACGATGCAAATTTTAACCTTTTGTCTGTTTAAAATAGTTGCCATTTGGTATAAGCATTAAGTATGCAACAAATAATCACGTTTACATGGTCTCGATTAAATAAACTTATCTTAAAACCAAACTTATATTTATAGCTTATATACTCAAAAACTTTTGATTTTAAGTGAAACCTCAGAGATTGTTTTTAGAAATATCAAAAAAGTTTAGAGAGTAGTTTAAAAAATATAATATATGTACCAAGTGCTAAATCTAATATGCGACTTGCGGTTGCCCGCCTAGGTCGAATAATTTACAAATCTAGGTACACTGACACCGATTTGCTCGTGAACTGAGGTAGATAAAACTGAGATACATTCAAACCGAGATACACCAATATGGCTATATTTACACACAGGCGAAGCCGCGTTATTCTATGTACTATTAATAAAAAATAGTAATTGATTCCATTACACAATATTTATTTGTGAAAATGTGGAATCGGGTAACAAAAAATCGTATAATTTAAAAATATGCACACAGGCACACATAATAATGTATGCCTACGGCATACGCCATCATCACGTATGTAACATACATATATTATATTTATATTAAAACGTTAATAATAAATTATAATACATTTTTAGGCGGGTCGAAATTATTTTCACAACATCCTGCAGTGAAAATCATGCGGCTATTCTAACGTCTTGTATTAACACATTTCCGTCCACTATTGTGTTGAATTCGACTAACTTACATAATATAAGCGCATTATTTTGAGGCGTATTTTTAAAGAAGGGGTTATGGAACTTATCCCCACTCACTCCCGCCGTTTTAATACAGAATGTATATAATATATTATGTAACTTTGTAACTTTATAATATTATAATTTATAAGCATTATAATACAAATTACAAATCATAGTTGTGTCTGACCAATATTATTTGAGTTATGAGTTTAATAGATTGCATATCCCTTGAAATTTCCTAGATATGATGACCCTGATGATAATGAAAATTAAAAGGCAAAAAAAGTATAAAACTTATATCACGGTAAAATTCATAGAAATTACTTGTACTAACTTGCGGAAATGTTATTTGTTCAATATGGGTGGATGTGCTGGGGCAGGAAATCACATTTTCTTTTGAAAATAGTGACAGGTATTAACTTCATCAAAAGTAGTGCAAAACTGAAAATCCATGCGCACTGTGTGTTAATTTCAGTTAAACATTTTTTTTTAGAAATATAAATATTTAACATTAACATGACCCTTATATTTATGGATTAACGTTTGGTACTCTCTCGTTAAATATCCCGTGATAAAAGTGATACATTTTTCAAATACTAAAAGCGTAATAACTGCATGCTAATTATTTGCATATTCTTCTTAAAAGTTAAATGTAGCAGGAGTATACCATACGTCTTAATCTGTGAGTACAATAAGGTAATTGATAACGTAAGTTGTATTCTTTATAATGTATACAGGGTGATTCACCAATCATGATTACTCCTGTTTTTTCTTAAATAATGAATTTATTCATATTATTCTGATTTTTGGAATTTTTAAATGTACTCAGACAATATTTTTGAAATCATGAATTTTTTGTACTACTTAAGGGGTGTTCTATGGCAATACAAACTCTGTTTTTTTTTCAAATGAGGACCTCCTTTTTACCGTAAATCATATGGTGGATATTTTTTTTAAAAAGATTATTGTGGATTTATTCAAAATTTGAACGGGTAGTTACTCAGTTATTGAAATGCGTAGTATTACTGTATTAGTTCTTAACAATCGTTTCACAAAAATATGAAAATATAGTATAAATACTGTATATATATTTTAATATTTATTATACTCGAATGCATTTTTACGGTATATTCATTCCCTCCCCCCCCCCATATCGTCTAAACAAATTATCATAGGACTAATATTATTTGTACACAAAGTAAAGTATCTCAAAAACTGCTCGTTTGAATTTTGATTATGATAAGTCAACATTTTCAGAAACAATTATCCACTTAACAGTTTACAGTAGAAAAGGTGTTCTCACTTGAAAAACAAAAGAATCTATTTCCATGGGACACTCCATAAGTTATACAAAAAAACAACAATTTGATAATATGGTCCTCGAGTATATTTAAGAATTACAAAAACTATATTTTAAATAAGTGCGTTATGGAAGAAAAAAGGGGGTGGGCATTTTTGACAAATAACCCTGAATGAATATATTTCAGTTATAGCTAACACATATTTGGTATACCGGTTAATACATTACCGGTGTTCGATGATAATATAAGTCTTGACTCTTGAGTGCTTTTCGCCCTTCCCGCTTTCTGTTATCTACTTGAAGTGGTGTTTATGTTTACACACTCAAGGTTTATTTTTTTTTTATCATTATTACGCTTCGAGGTTATGTGTATTTTTGCATCAATAATCAATTATTGCTACAGTTATACTCGCATACATGTTATATTAGTTTATTTTTTTTAGAATTTTTTATGAATTTTATGAGAATATAATTGTTGTATACCAGTTTACCTTCGAAAATAATTATATTATTATGGAGTACATTTCATAAAGTCGCTAACACTGGCACCGTTTTCAAAAAAAATATATGAACAGTTATCCTATAATATTATGATAAGTCTCAAAATGTTGATTTTAGTTATTTTTTAATAAGAAGTCTATATACAAATGGTTGGATAAAAATATAAAATACATGCATTATTGGATCTAGTATTAATTACTAGGGGATTTTTTAGAAATTATTAATGTTGATACGTAGATCAATATTAATTACTAATATTTTAAAATCTTTTTAGGCCCCATATTTTTTAAATGTATTATCAAAACCTAACCTATTATCATCAGAACATAAAGTTGAATGTTAGTTTGAATTCTGATTTTGATACATCAACATTTTCAGAAAATGTATCCGCTAAATAATTTACAGTTGTAAGAGGGAGTTCTCATTTGAAAAACAGAAGCGTCTATCTCCACAGGACACTCCTTAAGTAGTACAACAAATCTCAAGTATTTGAAAATATACTCTTAAAGTATTTTGAAAAATTCCAAAAATCAGATTTTGAATAACTGCATTATTAAAGAAAAAGGGGGATGATTATGCTTGATGAATTGTCTGTAAATTGTACATATTATATTACATTAGGCCTGCATTAGGTATTTCAATGGATATTCTTAAGGGGGACGGTCTGAGTTGCTTTTGAACGGTTTAGACATAATAGAATGTTCAAGTGGAGTGACCACGAAAATAATTTTAAAATATAAGAAATAATCATGAGTAAACTTGTGATCTGTGACTTATAATTATAAAATATATCAAATAGTTAAATGCACATTGATATTTACATACGTATATTAAATTTCGCGAGTAAATAACTTTAATTTAGTCATAAGTTATTTTATTATTATTGTATATTTAAATTAGCACATTTCAATAAACATATTAAATAAGACGATAAATATGGTTATAGGTATGGTTTGGTTGTACAAATACAAAAAAAAATGACTGTGAGAGTTAGCTACAGGAAATATTTTTTTAAATATTATGTGTTTATAGTTTTAATATGATAATATATACAATGGTTTAGAAAAATTGAAAAATTTAAAAACAGATTTTGGACAAATTACAATGATGTACAATATGACTATTACTACTACATATGTCATATAAATACATAAATATTTTAGTGTAGAGTACTTTTCTATTTTTATAATAGCCATTTTTTTTTAAACTGGGAATTCTCCTATGATTTATGTTGTCTTTTAATATTACGATACAGGTAATAATACAATTTTAATAGTCTACCTACCTATTGTTTTTCTTTAAATTTGTTTTAGATACAGTATTTTTAATAAAATATTAAAATGATTGTAAATAAACACAAAGAAAATGTATGAGGAATGTAAGTCCTATTTTAGGTTATCCTATATTTTGTTGAAATACCTTGAGTATTTCGTTTCAACAACGTTAAAAACAATAAACTTATCCAGAGTATATTAAATCGGCAATAACACCTAGTTTGACATTATAATAATTGATGATAGCAATGTATAATCATTAATAATCGAAGTGTCTAAAATAAAAACACTGCATTTATACTGAAGTAACAATTTAATAGTACTTATTACCTAACAATAATGTATAATATGTTCAGTCTTTTAAAAACTATATAATAACAACATTAACAATAATACGATATCAAATCACGCGTGATAGATCTTCTTAAAACGATAAAAGCTAGACCCTGGATAGTCCACTATACTCTATAACTATACCTAATAACTTTATATATTCAGCAAAAACAATATTATATTGATTAATGATTTAGTCTTAAATCCTGAGCTGCAGTTGCGAGGGAACTTTTTTTACATGCAAATAAACCACTCTCTTTTACTTATATAATATATATTATGATGAAAATATAAAACACTTGTATTTGTTATTATTTTCAACCACGTGATTTAGTGTAACACTGAAAATATAATTTCTAATCTTAATTTTGTAAATGGTAAGTGAGTGTTTTGAAATTTAGAATATACGTTTGAGGTTATTTAATTATTATTAATAAAATGAATAAATTGCATTAATGCATATGGGTACAGTATACAAATTCCTCGAACAAACAAATTGATCTGTACATACTCGACTAGTTAATGTTTTCATCGATTTACAACTTCCAAACGTTTCGATAATGTAAACTTCCGTCTAATTTAAATTATTCAGCAAGGCATTACATTGTCTTACTCAAAGTTTAAATATGTTTTGAATCAAAAAGTTTTCTACAATGTGATACGAATGTTTCGGATGCTTTTGGGTTTGAAAATCATAAATTTATTTGAGTATTATATCATAAGTATTATTGTTAGTACAGTATCAAATTGTACTAACCAACGCATTAGGAAATGTCCGTGATAATGGGTATTACGAATACTTTTATCGTATTAACAAAATGATTTTATTATATTCTTAACATATAGTGCAAAGTTTAGTCTTATAAATGTGAATAAATGATATAATTATATGTAATACGTTTGAACGAAACAAGATTCTTTTTTAACAGTGTGTCATTTCGCTAACATTAGTTTGATCCGACTATCCGATACACGATAACGGTGAAGGAAGGACGCACGCACCACAACTTTCACTCGCATCTGCAAGGCCGGCGACAGCGCGAACAAACCGTTGTCGTGAATTCGCTCCGCAAAACATTAAAATATGTCTATATACCCCCTCACCTACCTCCTATATAAGGTCGTTCACCTGTTAAATCAAATATGATTGCACCGTATACGTTAGTGCAAGTAATTATTAATCGCATCGATTCACGAGAGAAAATCGGTCAGTATAATATACCCGAGTACCTATAATAATATATACATGTCACAATATGATAAATAATAAAAGAACAACAAGAAATAATATTGTTTTGTTAAAAACCAATAAATCAGGCATCAGCTGACGCCTGACAGTAAGATATTACTACTACAATAGTGTTCACAAAATGCCATGATAAATATAAAGATGTGTCTCGTAATCTCTTAGATGTAGTTTCAGTGTAATAGTGTATATCATGTTTATTAATATTCGAGATCTTATACTTTCTATTAGTAATGAAACAAAGAGTATAACGAAGACAAATAGCCGCAATAAGTTATGTTATTTTAGCCGCTTTAGGTATTGGTATACTATTTACAAAATTAATGTTCTTGCATTTTATGGTTTTAGTATTGTCAAAATAAAATTGCGAAAGTTCACAAGAATATCAACAGACAACACATACAAGTTATAACAGAGAAAACTGTAAGCATTATGTATAAAAATGAATGTTTTTTTGTTTACTTGTGCTTTATAAATTCAAAAACTACTCCTCCATATTATCTTCTACATTCTATTACATTGATTATATATCATTTTTCGGATTTTAGTTTATTCTCACAATCTCAGTATATATCTCACCCACGAGTGTCGATGAACTCTAAAATACTGGTTAATTATTTCTTATTAATAACTGAGAAATCTAGATATTATCTAACATGTTTTTATGCGATTTATATAAATTATGCTACTTCAACAATTCATGATAATATACGATTAGATAGCGATATCGAAAGTAGAAGTAGTTTTATTTGAACTCGCAAATCTCACCATAAATCTTTGGTTAGGTATAATATTCTCTAAAAGTTTCTATTTTGTTTAGACTTAATAAATAAACATTAAAGACATTTAATTTCAAAAATAAAACGTTTACACTACCGCATGTCCGCGTGTCCAAAGTATAAAATAAAATAAAAAATGGGACATTTATAATTGTCTTGAATAGATCATTTTAAAATTAAAATAATAATATAATAATAATGCTTTATAGAAATACTAACAACCAACAAATTACTTAATTACAAGCATACCATAATAGTATAATACAGGGGTTCTCAAACTTTTTTTTCGCGTACCACTTAAGTATATTATCAATCAGTCGCGTACCACTGATGGTTAAAAATAGAAGGATACAAACTTTACATAGTTAAATACATTTATTTTAAATAAAAATGCAGTTATATACTACGATAAAGTTATTATTTATTTATTAATACAAATTTATTAGTGTTTAAAAATGAAGGTATGAATTAAATAACAATTTTTCAATGAGAACCATGGATTTGTAGATTTGATATTAGCGATGAAATATCTGGTTCAGTGTTACTTAAGACCTTCCGTGTACCAACATGGCAACATGTAGTCTTTAGCGTACCACAGTTTGAGAACCGCTAGTATAATATATTCATCGAATATCAGCTTAATTAAACTACTTGATTTAATCCCTAAACGAAAGTTTGAAGTTTAAATATATTACATCAAATTCAAAGTGTATTTGTTATTGTTTACAAAATATATGTTACTACGGTATGTCTCTAATCAGAACCACATAAAATATTTTATCATTGAATTCAAAATATGTTATACAATATCCATTGCAGTGAACTACATACTCAATGGCGACTCGCCATTGGCGAGGTAGGCTCGGCAACTAATTTTATAGAACAAGTTCCCCAATTTTTAAATTTAAGACCCCAATCCCCCCTCTTTTATAATTTTAAAAAAGAAAGAAGAATCAAGTTATAAAAAGAAATAATAATATTTCATACAAATACAATGAACACAATCTCAAAAAAAATATTGACTTATATGATAAAAATAATGGATTTATAGTACTTTTGTTGAACCTTAGATATTCTACTCCTTATTTTGTAATCATTACTGGCCACTAATCGACTAATGATTATCATTTATCATATATATTTATTAGGCTTTGCTTCAGTGATTAATTTTATCAATATAACCATAATAATTTTGTTTACAAATGTAGGACACAATTTTATAGTATTCCCTATCGATCTGTGGTCGTCGATGATAGTGACAAACTTACACGGTTAAAACGTTTATTTTTATGCATGAACAAATTGTAATACGTTATGAACTTCTGAATTTTGAAAGTTTATTATTTTTTACACATTATAGTACCTATAATATGCATATGCATGTTTCAAATGGAATGGAATTTAACTCCACAGAACATGCGACGTTATTACCACTTGCGACTTTAGACGGATGCTTCTGCCGTTTGACTGAACTTTTAAATGCTATTTATAATTGTTGTATTGGTGTGAATGTGTGATAATAATGAAAACTATCGTGTATGATACAATATTATGTATATACTATACGCCGTGTCGGTGTCGGTGTGTATAATGTGTATTACTATGTGCACAGCCGGCGTAACCTTGGCGGAATAAAAATAAGAGTGCTCACTGCGTATATTTTATACAAATATTATTATCCTACACTCGGTCCTCCGTAAACCGGCGTCCACAGCGTGGTTTCTCAAATAAACGCAATACGCACCTAACCTAGCTTTAATACGTACCTGCGCCCGCAGACTGCGCTCAGCGAATATCATTTCCTAGTAGTCTATAGAACATATTTTATACTCTTTTATTTTTTTTTCCTTGAATATACTGTATACCTATTTATTTCTACATTCGTAAAACCATGTAAAAATATTTTTTTTAAATGTGTACCCACATATAGTACATGATATTCGTCGACATCCCATACTCCAATAATTACAATTAGTATTCATGAAAAAGCAAAATAGTTATTAACATGTGTGTTGACGTGAAAAAAATAAAAAGTACTTATGAATTTTTTTATTTTTACAAAACATTACAGGCAGGTTTAGTGATGGGCTGCAAATACCTAATACAATTTTGATTAAATACTGCAGGGTATTTACTATTTAGTCTGTAAATTGAGCAAATTGGGGGGAGAGGAGCTTAAGCCTTTGACGTCCCCCCTAGCTACGGTACTGAAAATAGCTTATGCCTAGTGGCCAGATGACCAATAATTTTACATCAACGAGTGATGTTTAAAGTTTTAAACGACAAATAACTTCAATGATATTTTCTGATATATAAATTGACTGTCAGCTGTCAAGAATTACCTTTCATAACTGTTGACGTATTGTTATTATTGCTAAAAGTTAAAAACTATTAACTTATTTTAAAAAGACGTCATAGAATAATATTTTTTTTTACTTTATTTGTCGCTCACGCGCACTTAACGTAGCAAAAACAAGTTCACCGAGTTCATTTATAATAGTTATTAATTATAGAGATATGACTTTAGAACTAACGTTCTTATATTTGAATAAAAGAACAATATTTTTAAAAGCATCTTATGTAGTTTTTTATTATATTAAAATGTGAGAAGAATTTTTATTTTTATAAAATTAACTTTTTAATAAAGTTTACAAACGTTTAACAACCTTTTATATGGAATACTCTAAAAAAGCTTATTTTTATTAATTTTTATATAAATTGTTTAACTACAAACCCACTATCCTATAACTAAGGGATTATGACATGCCATTTCTCCGTGAACTTGTACTTGGTATGGTGACTACGCTACACGTTATGTAATAAGTACCACCTTATCCTACAAAAGATAATAAATAATTATTTATTAATTTTTTTATAATTAACAAATCTTGACAAGGTTAATTACACTTTTACACATACAGGGCATTGTAATTTCCATGCAGGCACTGCGACAATAATTGTAGTACAATAATGCATGTTATTTGCTGCAAACCTTTATTTTTCATTTAATCATTTTTAGATGGGTATCTACATTATATCTAATACCTATTACCTATATTGCATGGTGAACAACGAGACATCAGCTTCGTTTATGATTAATAACAGATTGCGACAAGTAATGGATGTGTTATCGTCAGTTCTTTTAAATCTGGCACTAGAGAATATAATAAGGGAGATACCACGAACTGAAACATTAAACTTAAACAATAAGGAAACATCCTGCTTGCATATGCAGACGACATAGTGATCATTGGAAAATTCAGAGGGCAGAGAGGAGGTTCAACGAAGTGTTACAGAACTATAGTTAATACAGAAAATATAACGGCTTACAATATTAATTATAATTATTAACAGCGAAAAGCGAAATTCATGATGGCGAACGATAAGGTCATAAATCATAATAATTAGAGCTCGGATTTTAAAGCATAATAAATAGCAAAAAAAGCTCAAAATCGTTTTAAAAAGCAAAAAAAAGTGTAGTTAAAAATTAACATGAATCAGTTATAATTTTATAAAACTGAATAAAAAAATCGAAAATTTTGAAAAAGAATTTACAACCATGTATTTGGCAAGATTTTCAGTAGTGAAACTGACTACGTATTGTCTGACAGGATGTTTTTATACATAGAGAACGAACGCTCTACATCTACTGAAGTAATCGGTGCATACTTCATGCATTTCGTTTAAATCAAACCCATGATAATTAATTTTGTTTAATGAAACGCCACACAGCATAGTATTAATGTCCAGTAATTGTTTCCAGCCTTTGTTTTTCAAAAGAGTACGATTTAGTTTACCCGAAATTGAAGTTGCAATATCTATATTTATAGTATACATTATTATTGAGGGTTTTCACAGTTCTTATAAATTAAATACACATTTGTTTATTACTATGGCATAACAAACATACTAAAATTCCACAGCTAGAATAGAATAACTGAAAAAAAGCAATAAAAAAGAAAGAAAACATTTACAAAAATAAAAAAACAAAAATAAATTCATTTATTTGGAATCAGAATGACGTGAAACGAATTTATGCATAAAAATTAGATTTCTATTTTAAATATATAAAAAGAAGCAATTGCTTTAAAATCCGAGCCCTCGTCATAAGCAATAACCTACGTAAGAGATACAACGTCTTTGAGCAAGTACAAGAATTTAAATACTTCGGCACTATTCTAAATAGTCAAAACATCATGCAGATTAATTAAGCTAGATTCAAGTAGATAATAGCCTATAGGACATAATATTATTGTGTAATCTGCACTACCTTGTACCTTCAAAAACTGTAATTTACGATTTAAACAATCGTTAAACTTATAATGATATTTTATTTTTTGCAAAGTTGTAACTACTGATATTTTAAAATAATGAATAATAAATATGTATACATATATATATATTAAATATATTAATAATATGTAGGTATTTAACCACTGCAATATTCGAAAAACAAATTCTAAAAATGCATATAAAATGATTGTATAAAAAAAAAACGAAAAGTCGCTCTGCTGTATATTAGGTAATAGTGTACTTGTACCTCGTAAGTCGTTATTGAGTAGGATCACTGTAATAGATGTGTTCAATTTGTATTCAATAATAAAACGAATTTGAGAGGAGATGGTAATGTTGTAAGCCGTATTTCTTATAATATATTCATATTGCTATAAGTAATTTATTTTTCTATTGCCTTTTTGTTATACGGTAGGTTAAACTAAATT